GCAGATTTTTTCTGATAGAATTTGTATAGGAAGATAACTGTTGCAAAAAAAGCCAACTACAAGAAGACAGTTGTCACCACATACAAATTCTGTAGAAAAAATATGTACTTATAGTATTGTTCCAATTGAATACACCGCCCCAAGTCTTTAACTAGAGAAAATCTTATTAATTTAATAAAAAATACATGCACTTTTTTTGCACGACTGGATAGTCATATCCTAATAAAATTTTATGCCATAAACATATTTCGCTCCAATAAAAAATATGTAGACTATTGGAAACATTTTCCCTTTTTGAAAAAGAAAAAGAAAGAGACATTTGAATCAAACACTAACACTCCTATCTGACTTGAACCGCTTCAGAATCAGAAACTCCAATATAAACACACAACTCCCCTCCAATATTCCACAATTCCCTTCCTATATTCCAGATTTCCTCCCCATTTTTCTCCGTATTTATCTGCAACTCTCTACATCTCGATTGTATCTGGTGAGTGTAAGAAACCAGTACCAGCCCAGTTTATTCATACTATTCTTTTGTTTAATTTACTTTTGTCATATTTGTTAAGAAACTATGGTAAATTATTATTTGGGATTTCAGTTCATATTTGATCGTGTTTCATATTTTTATTTTTATTGTCTGCTGGTTTTGTCGGTTGATTTCTTTGGCTTACAGCAAATTAAAGGATCGACTCTTCTATGATAGTGTGTTTGTTTCTCTTTCTTTTACTAATTCTGAAACAGAAACCCTTTTTCTTTGTTTGATGAAATTGGATAAAAGATATCAGTTAGTTTGTAAATGAAATAAATGTAATCAGATTGAGGAAATTTTACGTCACCTCTTTAATTTCTTAGGAAAGTTTCGGTCTTGCCATTTTTGCATCTTGTTCTATTCTTGGTGACTGAAAAAACTTTACTTTTAGTTAAAAAGGAAAAATATAAAAAAAAAAAATAAATAAATGACATTTTGCCTCTCCTTTTCAAGCTTAGAGCTTCAACTGATTGAGGTTTCTTTTTAGTAGTTATGGGTGAGTGTAGGTAGCTAGCTTTGTCACCATGCAAGAAGCTTCTGGTGCAGGTGTCCTGAAGGCCCATAATAAATATATGGGCGGTTTACTGATTGATTTCTCAAAAACAGCCAACATTTCGAATAAAAAACTTGAAATTTTTTCAACAAGCTGCCCAGAAACTTCTGTTTAAAGTTTGAATCGAGATTCAATGTATTCTTAATATCCCTGAATTTGTTGCACAAATATGGTTGAAAATGATGTTGCAGTAAAAATGAAGTTATATGCAGGTGGCAATTTTATGTGATTTTGAGATTTTACGTGTAACAAATGAAAGGCGGTGTACTGGTGTAGGATTACGAGCATGAAGACAAGAGGAAAATTAATTTTAGCCATCCTTTGGTGTATGTGATCAATTCATTGCATCTTCATTTTCTTCTTTTCATGGACTCGCCATCCTTTGATTTGTGTGAGCTTTGACCACATGTTTGTTAAAAGTATACTTGCTGAATTTGGAACATAGGTGCACCTTACGGAGCACGCTAGCAAAATAACTGCATTACATCTTTCTCCAACTCCATTAAAAGGTTGCAACCGGAAACAATGGCTAGGAAAAAAGAAGGAAAAACTGTGCATCATAATATTGCACGGGTAAGCTATTGAGCATTTCTTTGATTGACTATATTCTTTCTGGTAAAATGATTGTACTTATGACTGTACATAAAAGGTGAAAAAGGAAAATGTGAACGATGCATGTACATTTATTCATGTAAACACCGATGATGAATTGTTATTCTGATTCTTGTTATTTCAATTTATATCGCAATAACAAACAAATCTTTTCCCTATATATTTCTGATTTGAACAGATCTGTGTGTTCTTGAGCTTGTTTTAATTGGTCATTTCTAAATTCAAATTTAGCAATAACATTTCTTAATCATTTTTCTCATTTTGCAGGATTCTCTAAACTAAAATTAAATTAGCATTTCTCACTTTGAAAGATTCTATCTTATATTTTTTTATTTGATCTGTAAATATTTCAGGTTCAAAACTGTATTGAAAAGTGCTTCATGCTTTACATGAACAAGGCAGAAGTCATGAACACTGTCATCACTCAGGCCCACGAAAATCCTGATATTGCCGAAATAGGTATAACTATCCAATTAGTTCTTGTAGTTTTTGTTCGAAACTGCAGGGTAGAAGCTGTGAAGAGTTTCATATCAATACGATAAAGTCAAAATGTTAAGTAGAGTCAAGAATTTTCACTTTCCTTTTATCGTCTTGACTATTATTATTGTCTAAAAACATGATTACTTCTAGACCGGCACTTACAACTTTGTTGAAATTTAGTTGATACATGCTGATAAACTTGGCACATTGTCAATACTTGAAAAATTCAAAAATTCGTTGAATCTATAGATTACTATTGCATCGTTGTGGTAAAGTTGTAATGTCAATACTTGAAAAATTCAAAAATTCGTTGAATCAATAGATTACTATTGCATCGTTGTGTAAAGATGGTAATGCCAGAGTAATCATTACCACAAGGCATAGTGAGGGACTTCATAATCGTCTATACTATAAAATCAAAGGAAAGGAAATATGTTTAAGGATGGAAAATGTACAATATTTTAAGAGAAAAGTATTTGATTGTTGTGGAAAAATCAATATACTTAAAATCTTGAATTAGGATCAACTAGGACAAAAATAAAGCATTGGGTTGAACTCTTTGTTGGTGTCAAGGAAATAGCTATGAATAGCAAAAAGTTGTTTTATTCTTGGACTTAGAAAATCTATTACGAAGCAGTAGAGTTTACGTGCTACTACATTCTCATTGTTCAATTCCCGATTATTGCAGCCATCGATTGACTTAAAATAGAAAACATTCAAAGACTGTTTTCCTTTTTGTATGTTTTCTAATGTACTATTGGCAGTAATTCAGTTAGTTTACTCCAAGAAGGTAGCTGATGTTTCAATATTTCACATCAATGTGTTTCTAGCAATTTTTTTTTTCCTCGTTAGTGTTGTCACCTTGTTTAAACTCATCTTTCATGCTGTAATATAACAACATTGCATTTTCGCATTGTATATTTGTTTTCCAGTTTGGCATAGGCTTGAAACACAAAATCCAGAATTTTTCAAGGCTTATAATCTTATGGTGTTAGTGAAGCAACAAATGGTGGAATTCAATCGGTTGCTATCAAAGCAGGCAGAGCTAATGTGCAAAACAGGATTAAGTGTGATGACTTCCATGCCCATGTCTAATGGATATGATGTTTCACCAGGTAAGAGAGTTTTCTACTTAAATAGTTGAAGGTGTGCACTTTCTTTTTCAATATTTGGATAACTTTTACATATACTTCCTCTAAATTTTATGGTAAATTTTTTTAGCTTGGGTCAAACAATTGTGTAAAATTTCCTGTTGTACAAAATCATTTGCTTCCAGCCAAATTTTTTAGGAATGTACTTCTGAGGGGCCTTAATAATCACTGTATCAGAATAATTAGATTCCATTGCTGCAATATTGCCATTTTCCTGATCACTTGGTTGTAATACCTCTGATATTTTTGGCTGCTTCATATTAGCTAAATATTGGAATATGGTGTGAGAATGAGAAATCATGAATAAATAAAAACTGAGGGTAGCTAACTAGTTCTTTGGGCAAGATTTCATTCCATAGGAACAAGTAGTTGCCTTAGTCGGAACACCACCACTACCACCAATGACGAATTAAACCTTAGACCCAATAAAATCATTGGTACAGACCTTAAGTATTGAATCTATGACTACAGGTGGTTTTGCTTGCAGCATTTTCTATACTGCCTATGGAAGTACTAGGCCGTGGTTGATTTGCCATTTTTGACCCATTTTCTGTTTTCCGTTTTCGAAAACGCCGAAAACACGTTTGGTCCGTCGTTTTCGAAAACGCATTTTTGAAAACGAATTAAAATTTATAACTGAAAACGCAAAACTACTTTTTATCGTTTTCAGTTATAAATGTCGAAAACGCTCAAAATGTGGAAAACGGGCCGTTTTCGGGGAAAACTAAAAATCGTTTTGAAAATGAAAATGGAAAATGAAAATGCAAATCAACCACTACCTTAAAGTTTGGTCTTGTGTGAATCCTTTTTCATCACGTTGTTTGGTTCATCACCACATAGCTTTGGTAAACCTTCTCTCTCTCTCTGGAACTTGTTTTAAACTAAATGCTTAATAAGTATGTCTACCCAACAGCAAACCAAAGCTCCATGTGGCGTGCCGAACAAATTACAAGACCGGTGGAAAATGCAATTTTGCAGCCGCCAAAACTTGCTACTTCACCAAATGCATTTAGCAGTGGATTGTCAATCCAGTCGTGTATGCAAGGAACTCTTGATGTGTGTACTCATGGCGGAATGATTGATGTTGCTCAGAACATGGTCTTGCCTCAAAACTCAAAAGTCCCACAAGCATTGAATGGGACGATAGTAGAAACAGAACCTCTTTATAATGGCAACTTGCCTTTCAATTTCCCTCCACACAACAGTTTCTTCGAATCACGTCCTCGAATGGGTGATGCTATGTCGTCTTTCACTAGCGTAGAGACCAATACACAACCTCTAAATGGCAGCATCTTGGATGGTTTTGGATTTTTGGATCAAAACCCTGGAGATTTTGTTCTCCCAGAGTTGGCAGCTGATTTCTCTGGTAGTTATGACTGCTTTCCCTCTCTCCCCCCTCTCCCATCTCTTGAAATTATCGCTATTTGTTGTGCTAAAATTAAGTTGGATTGTGACTAGAGGTGGACTAACTTTTGTATTCTATCGGATTTCAGATTTACTAGAAGGTAACTATATCTCTCAGCTCCCTTCATCAAAAGATGCCAACAACCTTGTGAATTTCCATGGTAAGAATCAATAGATGCCAACAACCTTTGTGGATTCCCATGGTAAGAGCAAGCACGGTTATCAGACTTTTGGTTTGTTGTTTGTTTTTGAGGGTAGATAATGTTTGTATCTTGACCTTCAGGTGACATGGATGCTGACCTTCTTATGGATTCCCATGGTAGGAGAGAGACAATATTATGATCCTTCTGGATTGCTTTCTTCTTAGATTATAACTAATATTTGTATCTTGAACGTCAGGAGACATGGACGAGTGGCATGTATCACTCTGAATCATATATCGAGATTGGATCATGCCATTGGCTGCTTTCTCCAACAATAGTGCATCTGCAGTTCATTTTCCAACCCCGACCTTTTTAATGCAGTTTTTCTGTCGTGTGTTTTGTACTGATGGTTTCGCTTTGTCTAAAACTTTGGCTGTTTCGGTTTGGAAGAATTTCTTGTATCTATGCTTCTAAGTTCCTTCTATCTTCATGATGTTTTTGCTTAGATATGTCTTGTTCATTGTTTGGTATCTTGAAGCAAGTGATATGCACACACTTCATGTCACATTTCAAGAAAAATAAAAATGATCAGTAATTTCCCATCTAAAAGTATATGTTTTCTGTGTTACTACAGAAGACGTTTCCATCTTTGAGAAGTTTTGTTAGCTTTCTAACTTCCTAAAATTCTAGTTGAAAGAAGAAAAAAAGAAAATTCTTAATCAATTCTACTATAATTTGTTATTGCCTTAGACTCTATGGGAACAAAGCAAAGGAGGCTGAATGGAGAAAGAGAAGGGACGAGGGCGGTCTTGCTTGGACCCACAGAGTACAGTACCAAAGGTTCTCGAACTTCTAGGCGGTTTTTCTTTTGAGCAGATATTTACCGTTGAATCTTGTCAATAAAGACTCCTATAGTTTTTGTTACCAAGATGGATCGATCGCCCTAGATAGACAGCTACATAGAGGGTCTCTACGTGGCAGGAATACAATTTTTTAGGTTGACCACTACATAGGAGCAATAGCGAGGCATCATCGTATTCCCAACTCCAATCATTCATCAAATTGTTAATGTAATAAAAAGGAAAAACTACAATTTAAATATAGAGGAGAAACAGAAATCCGGCAAATATTTATTATGTACGCAAACACAGACAGACAGAAGATCAAAGTAAAGCATAGTTTTCCATAATTAGGGATTACCATAATGTCACAAACCAATTGCTTCATATTCAATCCCATTAAAGCACATTGAATTGAAAGGGGTCCCATGCAAGTAAATTTACATCCTTCACTGAAATATGCACACACGAGGAACCATACGTTTTCTTGGAAGTGGTGAACCTGGAAATTCATTATAAGCATTGCTTTCAAGTTTCAACTATTTCAAGGTCATTGCTACATTAACACCATGCTTTGTATAAAATGTGCTCATATTTGCAGAGACTGGTTTTTTACCCAGGTGACCAAGCAACCAAGGAAATTGATTGGTCACACGAGGATTTATGCTGGAAATTGTTCTCTACGGCCACCGTCTAACAATCCACCTATTTCAAAAGGTCGAGGACCAACTTCCTCTTTGTAGGTTTGAGATCAATTTGCTCCTTGGCTAATAGGTCGAGGACCAACAGTATCAATCTTCCCTGTATTATATGCATTTCAAGCATGGAGAAAACAATAAACGATCACGAGGCTAAATGAAAGGAATAAGATTTACTATCACATAAAGTTTCCTCTGATAAATATGATCATAACTTACAGAAATTTACAATTCATAAATCATTGTAACACAAACCACTGCAAAGAGTTTCGCTGCTTAAACATGTATCTGAAACACAATGGTCACAAGATGCAAGACCTAAGACTTTTCAGCAATAAATTAAAGCTCTTTCGTCCCATTAATCAGAGAACTTACCCAACCTCAAGAATTTACAGCAATGTCTGCATGTCTATCTTCATTCACCTTCAGTGCAAAAGCCTCATATATCTCTCCTCCCTGTCAAGTCTGATCCTTAATTTTTCAAGAAGCGGTACCATTCTGGACATTGATACCAAGTTTCCTGTTTGTAGTAGGGAGACTATTTCTGTAAATGGTAATACTCTGACGGGGTCCACGACCATAAGCACCAATGCACTTCTCAAAATCTCCTGCATCCCCACAACTCTTCCTCCTGCCCAACTTTGGCGATCTAGCACGAGTTGGAGGTGGCTGACATCCAATGACAATATCTTTAAAGGTTTTCAGGAACACTAATAAAGAAGCAAACTAATATAGTAACATGGTATCACGTTTCTGACAGAATATATGAAGTCAGGAATTAAGATTGCATGGAACTCATCTTAACAACATAAATATGAAACTGTTTAGAGCTTCAATTGCATAGAAACGTGGGCTCTTAAATCAATTGTGGTGTCTTTTTGTGTATTAACTACCAACTACCAAGTCAGTGTGCATAGAAGTAATAGGACTATATGGATAATTTTAACTCCAAACGAGTCTCAAACTTTGCCAAAGTAGCGTCAAGTACCTTTTTCAGTTCAACTTTGGGAGGTGGTCCCTCGTGGTAGAAGCTAGGCATTGGGCTTGCCTTAAACGACAAACCTTTTCTTAGTTGCTTGACAGCTGCTTGAATCTCTTCCTACAAAATTGAAGAAAGAAAACAAGCAAAAAATACGGATGTGAAAAAAGACTTGCTATATGGAAGAGGACAAAAAGGATTTTGTTATATCAATACAGTTGACTATAACAGCCAAAGGAGGGAGAGTTTATATTTAAACTTAAATAAGTTGATGAGAACATCACATAGTATGTACCTTTGTCCTTGCATCACACTGAGTTTTCTCAGCCTCAAGAGCTTGATGTTTCTCCTCTAATTTTGAATAAAACTGAAACATACAAGCATGGTCAAATGAAAAACAGGGTTATGCATTATGGTTCAGTGTTATATAGATAACAACTTCACTTGTCAAAGATTGATTCAACACTACCTCCTTCCTTCTCTCTGCACGTGCACTGCACCTGAAAACAGGGACTGCTGCAACAATTGTCTTGACCTTTCTTCCTGATGCCACAGTTCTTCACATAGTTGAGGAAGCATTTTACTCAAATGAAGTATAGACATAAGATATGTGAAAGAATCCAATAAGGAAATATTTAAAAAATAAATAAAATTCAGTGCACTAAGCAATAAATAGGATACGAAGAAGCAACAGAACAGTTATCTTCATCAGGACGCTTCTTATTAGCAGGTTGCAACGGCTTCCTCGATACCATAAGTGAGACAGGCTGCACCTAAATAGAAAACCTACAGTATTAGTAGTTGATTGGCTTCTAATTTTACATTCATAAGCCCCTTCGCACCTCAAAATTACGTTTCCCAGATCCCAGAAGTTTTCTCATGCATGAAAAGCCAGTTATACAATTTCTTTAGAAACAAAGAAAGCAAGAAGCTAATAAAAAGTCAAGATGCAGAAAAAGATTTCCCCATTTATCACGTGACAGAGTAATTGCACAAGTTTTCTATGTTAAAAACAGGAAAAGAAAACATGCAAATAAGGGATTTGTTTTCTTAATATATAGGTTATTTCAAAGAGTAAGAAACAATAAAATCATGCACATTTGGCATATGTAAAACAGATAAATTACCCAATACACGGAGATTTATCACAGAAATGTTCCCTGGAAAATGTTGACAAAAACAATTGCATGCATGATTGGAAAGTTATAATCAAGCCTAAAATTCTAAAGTTTGATGCAGGGCATTTACCACATTCTTCTTGGCAGTACTGGAGTGTGGCAAACCATTGACATGAGGGGGTTTATTTGCAGCAGCAACGTAGTCATCCTCAGTCTCATGAGGCCGAGTTCCACATAAAGCGCGCTTTTCTGTTGCCAAAGCAAATGGCTGTGGAACAGTGCACCTTATTTTGCAGTTTCCAGCAGCACAGTTCATAGCAGGTTTGCCCGAAGGTCTTGACTGCTTATGATCATCAGTTACTTTTTGACCTTTAGATTTTGCGCCTTCCTTCTCCATGTCAATCTCATTTGAGCTTGGTACATCTTGCTTTTCACATTTGTCAGCTTCACAAAGTTTAGTAGTCTCAACAGGCCTTTCAGTGTCGCATTCGTTTGTTTCATGCTCCTTTACCACAGCCTTTTGTCTCAATATATCAAGTTCTGGATCCAGATTAATATATTTTTTTGGTTGTGCCTCGTCTTGTGGACTGGCAATTTCGTAATTTGGACCATGGGAAACATTACTTGAGACAATTATGACAGCATCTAGCTTCTTGTCCATATGAATATCAGTAACTTCTAGCCTTATTGGACTGAAAATAAACCAAAGAAGGTCTCATTGTGCAATGGAATGAATGCTATAAATAAAATTTCCTCGCATCACCGTCCTTAAAGAACCACAGGCAAGAAAAAGTTCCATCCAACAAGAAATTCACTTTAGTTTCTAAGGATCCAGATACTTTTACACATTTAACCATCCTGCGTATCTGTTTGTTATCAGCCTACATTCGAAAATCAATGACAAAAGGTGCCAGCAGTTGTGTGTTGACCCCTTTCTTTTTCAACTACATTACGTATAATCATAATAAACTATTTCCGATACATGAACTCGAATATTAGGTGAAAGAAGTTAAAACTTAAATTGTGGCACCTAGTGATGCAACTGAAAGGAAATCTATATGATATCTGAAAAGAAGGAATAGACAGAATCATAATACTTCCCAACAAGGGAAACATGAGGATAATAATAGTAACTACAACAAAAACAATACTATGATAAAACTTTGGCAAGCATGTATGTTCACCTTTTATCCTTATTAGTAAAAACCTGGAAATTGGGATTATTTAGAAATTTAATTGTAGAAGGATAGAATAAAACCTCTTATACTAATATTTTTTTAATCGATACTTAACACAGACACAACAATAGCAATATGGATGGGATCGAGGACAAGCTACATAATAACCTGACCCCAATTCCAATAAGAAAATTTTAAACGGAAGGGACAAAATAGAAATTAAAAGTGAGTTTTATGTATCCTAATGAGAAAAAATAAATGATTTGCATCATATGGAATTCAGTTTTTAAACATCTATCCATTCAGACCAACTTTAACTGCAAAATTTTAACAAAAAGTAAATAAATCCAAATATATATATTTTTTATTTCCACATTTCACATTAATCAAACCATTAACCCCAGAAGAAAAAAATAAAAATCCATAGAATTCATTTCCAACTGAAACAACACAAATTAAATGCCAATTACATTGTACTCAGATCTTCTTACATTAAAATGCGCAAATCAGTGTAAAAAACTGAAAAAGAAAAAGAAAGATCAATATGCATTAATCTATATGCAATCATGTATGCACAAATACGTACGGATAGATATAAAATGTGGAAATGCGAGATTTTTATCTTACAAATAAATTGATATTCTGATAATTTCTTCCTTGTTCAGTTTCTGGGAATTATGCTTTCCAGAGAGCCGAGAGGTCTCATCAACTGTGTGTGATTTGTCTTCTATTGCAGATGGTTTATACTGGTGTGTTGGGTGGGATGGGGACATGGAATAAACTAACGGCGTTGAGAATTTTGAATGACGGCGTGGTTTAACCGACGAAGGGGTATACAAAAGGAAATTGCAGAGACAGTCCCCAATCTATTGTTCGAATTATAAGTTGGTACACAACTTCAAAGGGATGCAAGTTGGTAATAGTGTTGATTTGTTCAATTTTCTATCAAAAGAACATTTACCAGTCTCTTTAAACGTAAAGAGCATCTTGTGTATATTAGAAAGTATTCTTAAATTTATTTCAGAAATTTTCTATTATTAGCCCTTTATTTTATTTTTTAAAAAACATTTAAGGGTATAGATTAAATTTTCAAATCAAAGTCAATAATTATTTTAACCATACATTTTGTAAGATCGATAATTTTTAAATATACGTTTTATCAATTATATCAAAATTCATTAAAAAAATAATTTTTAACTACACCAAAATAGGGGCATTGTTTTTCTTCAATTTTAATCAATATATATATATATATATATATTTTTTTTTTTGAGCGTTGAAATTTGTAATATTAGGCTATGTTGCCCTCCTAATGTTGTGAGAGTAAAATACGAGATACTAAGGCTGTGATTGATTTGCCGTTTTCGGCATGTTTTTCGTTTTTCGTTTTCGAAAACGTAGAAAATGCGTTTGGTCCGTCGTTTTCGAAAACGCATTTTCGAAAACGAGTTAAAATTTATAATTGAAAATGCAAAACGGTTTTTTATCATTTTCAGCGTTTTCAGTTATAAATGTCGAAAACGTTCAAAACGCAGAAAACGGACCGTTTTTGGGGAAAACTAAAAATCGTTTTGAAAATGAAAATGCAAACCAACCACTACCTAAGGTTTTGTAGCATTTTTGGTGAAGGTGGCGAGTGGGGGATTGAGTCGGGGAGCCGTTTGGGGTGGCAAAACTATTTGACTCATTTGAGAACTTGCATGGCCTTGGCCTGAAATGGGCGACGATGGGTATTGCCTGCCCAATCCCATTATGTATTATTTAAAAAGAAAAATTATATTTTACAGACACAAAAATTATATAATATATATAGAGGAAATTTCATCAAATGTCCATTTTTACCTAGTCATTTGTAAAAATGTCCATTATTGCAAACCGTTGCAAAAATGTCCAATTTGGAAAAATTTAGACCAAAATACCCTTATTAACAATTTTTAATTCCACACTAAGCCAAAAAAATGGACATTTTTGCAAAATTGTTATTGGCGAATAAAATTTTGATACATAACCTGTCATATTTATTTCAAAAGTATACATATCAAATCACAATAAATGCTATATTTTTCGTTGACTCAAAAATGTCAAGAACGATATTTTCAAATGTCAAGAAATGTTATGTTCAAAATAAAATGTCATTCTAGACAAATGAAACGTTCAAATGTCGAGAATGACATATGTAATGTCGAGAATGTCACCGTGACACGGAGGTACTTCTCCGTGTCACGGAGACGTGATTTTTTCAATTTTTTTTAATGAAATGGTATTCAAATGTCGAGAATGACATATGTAATGTCGAGAATGTCTCCATGTCACGGAGACGTGATTTTTTTTTTTATAGAAGTATCATATTTTTTGTTTTCACGTTATTTTTTTAAAGTATTATATTTTCTTTTTTTTTGTCGTCAAATTTATTTTAATGTAACTTTTCATGGAAGTCACTTCTCAAAATTTGTGACAAATTGATAAAAAAATCAAATGTCAAGAACGACATTTAAAATGTCGAAAATACCATTTCAAAATGTAACTTTTCATTAAGGGCATAATAGACAAATTGACACTAAATTCAAATGAGTGGACACTTTTCAACTCATACCCTTAAAATTTGACATTCTTGAAGCACCTGTTTGATGTGACTTGAAATTAGATAAAAATCTAAAACTCAAAGTGAACAATTATTTTTAATCACACATTTTATGAGATCATAACTTTTGAACTATATATTTCATCATATTTTATTAAAATCTGATTTTTGATTTAAACCAATCGGGACATAATATAAAATTGGACAAACGAGTATCCCACCTCCCAGTCTTAAGTAGGCAAGGATGAAAAATTCCCAACTGGGCACAAAAATGGTTGCCCTACCATGAACTCGCTCCGTTGCCATTAATGAGCGGCCACTAACTTCAAGTGGAGAGACGGAATGGGTAAGGGTTGAAGGAAATAATGTTTTTTCCTTTTATTTTCTCTGAATTAAGCCTCTATTTAGTGATGATTAAAATTATTATTTTTTTAATTTTGATAAAAGTTGTTGAAATGTGTGGTTGAAAGGTCGTGGATCCTATAAAATGTATTGTTTAAATTAGTTGTTGACTTTGATTTAAATTAAAATTTTAATTTGTACCAAACATGGGAAGTCTTAAGGGCATAATCAATTTGAAGAATATCGTTCCATAGCCACTACAAAATTGAAAAGTAGATGATCAACTTGCTCTTTTAAAAATGTTAAGACAATTCAATTCAACAATATGTTGGAGACCAACTGTACAATTAAAAAAAATGAAGAAGAAGAAGAAGAAAGAAAGAAAAATGAGCTTTGTTTAAAGGTGGTTATATTCACACTTCATTTTTTTCTCAATAAAACACTACATTTTAATTACATTGGGGGTCATTAACCTTTATTCATTATTACACTTACGTTCTCAACATTTTTACTTTTAACATTTTATTTATCATAAAATCTTATTCTTTCATGATTTCAGGAATAATTTATGTTAATTTAAGAATAAAAATGCAATTAAAAAAAATTTGAGAGATAAATGTGATAATGTATAAATGTTATGAACATTTCTTGTAGTTAAAATATAGTCTAGTTATTAAAAATTATGTGGGAATATATTTAGCCTTCGTTTAGTAGGGACGTCGAGAGATAAAAGGCAGTTGTATAGCGACGCTATTATCCTCTGTATTGGAGGTAGATGAGTTTGAATCGGAGTCTTGGGCTATTCTAGAATTTTGGTTGAAGTGGTCCAGATTTCATAATACAAAATTATAAATATAGGATTATGAATTTTGCTAATTGTACATCAAAATTGTATATAAGGAATTACATAATATGATGTAGAGGAAAAAAACTTGATGAAAAAGTTGACTGTATTTTACATAGACAAATGCGAGGGTGCCATGTATCATTATGTACTTCTCGATGTACATGTAACAAGATCAGTGAAGAAGTGCTTATTGACAAAAAAGAAAAAGAAAAATAAACTTTTAAAGTTGTTTAAGATAAGCTCCAATTTGGAGCTTTTTCAAAAATGTCTAATTTCAACTTTTATGAAAGCTAAAAATCTACATTAATTTTATTTATTAATTTATAATAAAATACCTAATATTTTTACTATTTCCACCCATCGAATTGTTTATAATTTAATGACTGTTTTTGAAAATTTGATATAATATTTTTTTTTCCCATTTGTCAGTACCCCAATAATATTTTTAGAAATGAAATTTAAGATTTTACAAGCATTATGGCATTTTCATACTTTTTACTATATTTCACATATTTCCACATCTCAAACAAATAAACTTTAAAGAATACAATTTATACCAATTAAATTCAAATATTTTATTTAATCAAACAACTATACGTATGATTAATAAATTAAAAATAATTTTCTAACTATGCTGTCAAACCGTCAATTTAATGTTCAAAACATTTTTCTTTTGGTAGACAATCAAACAATTATTAATTTTTGGTATTGACTCTTTTCACAAGAATTTTACTAATATAAATTTCAATCATGCTACATAGATATAATGACTGACATAATAATTGATATAATGTCACATGGCTACCAATTATTGAATTGTATATGTTTGATAGTGCAGTTGTAAGTAGAGTTATAAACAACTTCAGTAAGTTTGTTTTCAATTTTCAATTTTGCAAAAACGTTTAATATATATTTTCGAAAACAAGGTTAAATTTATAATATAAAACTCGAATGCATTTTTAACGTTTTGAGTGTTTTTAATGAAAAATTTGAAAACACTCAAAAGCATAAAAAAAATAAGCGTTTAAAAAAATTTAAGAAATAAAAATATAAAATACTAAGGATTAAAATTTTAATTTAAAAATATAAAAAATCTGAAAAATAAAAAATAAAAAATTTGAAAAAAAATTATAAAAATTTATTGAAAAATAGAATTTATAAAAATAGCTTAAACTTTACATAATAATATAAGGAAACATCTTCATTATAACAACTTATTATTGACTTTTTAAAATTCTTGTCTTCTTTAATTATATTTTGTATATTCAGTATATCATATTAAAATGATAGATATAATAATAATATCTTTCTATGATCAATTATTAACTTTAAATTAAAGTACGTTTGGAAAGTGTTTTAAATGGTTAAATAATATACATAGATAAATATGAATAATTGATAAGCGAATAAAACTCGTTGAACCTCGAAATGTGAGAAATACAATTTTATTTGAGTGTTTATAAACAATTTATCAACCTGAGCCAAACATATGCTCACTCTAGACGTATATTTGCATTAATATGTAGGTACGACGGAGTCTTTAAATTCTGTATTTTCTTCCTTCGATAAATTTCCTAAAATATTTGGTAAGTTGCACTGATTTGAAAGAGAAATGTGTGACAAAATTTGTCCCACGAATTTGTCATCTTATCTAATTAAGTTATATCAAACGTCTCATTAAAGTTCTAAGGCCAATTTAGATTAATTTGGTGATAAAGGTAAGTATATGCTTTACAGCTAATGCTAATTTTGCACTCTAACCATGTGGTGTTTGATTATCTCAAAGATGTTTATGTCACAACTGTATGATTAGAGACAGTGTTGTGACTCGATAATTGCTTTTGGCCTCATCTTTGATTACCCTTTCCAACCCTTTTGATAAAGCATCTATACCATTTTATTTAATTTTTAATGTCAATTAATGTTTACTCCCTTGCAAACTTTTGTAAATAAATTAGGAATATTGAAATCACAGTTTCAAATCTTTAAATTTTTTGCAGGTTTTACTTAAACTTTTGACGATTTCAAGTAAAAAAAAAAAAAAAAAAGGAAACAGTTAGTGGATCAAAAGTTAGCATTTCACCATAATTTGACCAATTTTTAAAAATTGTAAAATGGCTTTTTAACATTTTATTGATCAAAAAAGAGTAATTTGTATTCCCAAATGTTTAAAAAATGAGTAGAGGAGGTGAGAGGTCATAAACATTTAATAGATATGCATCGGAAGGGCCTCTAACGATTTCTATAAAAAAGAAAAAAAAAAAGTCAAGTTACAAAAATATTCATTTATTTCTGATTCATGTAATCACTCAACCCCGTAATTTCAATCCCACCCAACCCCACTCATCGATGAGCCCTGCTTGACGTAAGTGGGGGACTTGTCGCGCCTCTGAACGTCCAAGGCCCATGTAATTCTGGGCGTGTATCTTTATCCCTCATTGATAGATGAGGGAGTCTCTGCCATCGTGACTACTATTAATTTTGAAAAGAATTCATCTTTCTTTATATATTGTATCTCAAAATTTTAAGGATTATTGATAGGAGGAAATGAAGTTGATGAAGATGAAAAGGGTTAAAGGAAATGAAGTGATGGTCCATTGGCCTCTCAAAGTGGAGAAATAAGAAGCAATTCTTTTCAAGTATTTGTTGGTTTAAAGGGTGGTTTAATTAATGCAACTTTTTAATTAAATAATAGTTTGCAATTAATTTAAAAATATAATTAAAAGTCCGTAGACAATCATTAATATTTTACATGGACCCACAAAACCTTCGATTCTAAGGGACGTTTATCGTATGTCCATATCAAAGATAAGACATGGCGAGAGGGGCCTTCTTCATAATCAAAAACCTGCCTCATGTTGTGAATATAAAACAATTTACTCTATGGTTTTTCCCTTTATAAAGGAAGTGTGGAGTCTTATCGTGAATTCCAACTAGGAGGTAAAGTGGAGTTGTACATCTCTCGTCAACTCGTGTCGGGTTTGGTACGGTTCACAATAATTGCGAAAAGAAGTTATGACTTCATTTATCCACGACTACTCAAATTTACATTTTTACCATTTCTATTTGTCCATTCAAACATGTTTGGATCTTAAATAATGTGTAAATAGGAAAAAAGTGACGGATAAAAGTGTATTACTTGTAAACCCTTCAAAATATGTTGATAAAAAGTGATTTGATCTTTTACAAACAGTTATAAATATGAGCCAAACATAAATTATTCTTGGAAGGCAAGGTGCAACTTGGATTGCCTTGCTTGGCACTTTGTCAGACCAGGTGGGGAGCGCTCGGACCCTGGCCAGTTGGAGGCACATCCTGCGATTAACCGGACTGTGTGAAGAGGGGCCGGATCACAGACCCAAGGATTAGTCTAGAATAGGACACCTTGTAAAAAAAAAAAAAAAAAAAAAAAAGTTATTAAGCATGGGTTTGACAAAATTTATAAATTATTTATAATCGATCATACTTCATTTTCAACTTCACATTCAAATAGACTCACAAGTATTGTTCACTTATTAGAACCTTCTTCTTCTTCTTCTTCTTCTTCTTATTATTATTATTATTATTATTATTATTATTATTATTATTATTATTATTATTATTATTATTATTATCTATTCATGAGTTAAATTGTTCATAAATTCTTCCCAAACGAAGGATAAGTGAAACTTTGTGCGATTTTGCTTCTCAATTGTTTCAGATAAAGCTATCAGATGATGAGTTGAGTCAAGTCAAGTTATCGTTTAATGACAAATGAAAAACTTAAGTACAAAATTTAATGTTATTTGAACAAATATAAAGAAACTCTAAAATAACGATGACCAGAAAGTTAGGTCACTATTTATCAAAAAATGTTGCTTATTACTTCTCAGCAATAATTTATTTTAATATGATATTTTTAATTAAATTAACTTACTTCTATTGTTCAACTTAAACTCATAATCCTCCATATAAATTTGTGGAATCAAGTTAAGCATTTGTTTGGTCGAGATTTTTTGAACGGAACATAATTTTTATCATGTGACGTGAGGCGAACAAAATGAGCAGATAAGTTGTCATGTTGAATTTAGGTGAATTATTGGCAGCTACAACGACTGTCAAATCCCTAGTCAGGTTAACCCACTAGTCAATAATAATCGTGTAATCGAAATACAATGTAATAAAACATAATGAACAAGAAAAAGCGAAAACAAACACGGTATACACAAATTGATTGAAAGCACGCTCGTTCGACGAATGAGCATAGTTAAATCTCCCCCTCGCATTTCCTGGTGTTCGGGTGCAATTTCTACCGGTGGCGGATTTTGGGTTGGCTGGGCTGGGCTGGGCTGGGCTTTAGCCCAGTCCCCTTGCCTATTTCAGTTTTTTGTGGATAATTTATTTATTTATGCAATTTTTTTTTTTTTACATGTTAGCCGGACTTAAATATTTTTTAGTTCGATCCTTCCTTATTTCTTCAATTTGAAATTCACACCACATTTTCACAAAGGAATCCACATAATCATAGAATTTGATGTCTATCAATTTTCACAAGATTCTAGATGATCGAAACTAAAAAGATTACAAGACCCTTCAACTTTTTCACGTCTTCACAAGAATATTTATCAACAATCATAACCGCTTACAATCTAAACTATCTCATACTTTAGGCATGATATGTCAAAATACCAAAAAAAAACCTGCTACACAAATAACGGCCGGGACAGGCCCTTGTGACATGAGCTAACATGCCCTAATAGAATAACAGTTCTGCTAGCTGTACAACACTTATTGCTGTACACCCATATACTCCTCTCACAATGCGAGGGGTCCACAAATATAACAGTTCTACTATCTCATACTTTAGGCATGATATGTCAAAATACCAAAAAAAAAACCTGCTACACAAACAACGACCGGGACATGCCCTTGTGACAGGAGCTAACAGATCCCAGTAGAATAACAGTTGTGCTGAGTGTACAACACTTATTGCTGTACACTCATATACCCCTTTCACAGTGTGGGGAGTTCACAAATATAATATTCATGTGGGCTCCCTCACATTGAGAGAGGGCTGTACACCGTGTACAAGAAACTTTGTTGGTGGAATAATTGTATTTATTTATGCTCTCATAACACAATTTACTCGTTATTTTGACAGCAACAAAATTTATCGGTTTAATACTTTGGTTAGAGTTAGAATTTAACGGTCACGGTGCACCGGTAAATTTCATCTAATCATGATAAGAAGATAAGTTTTGCCGAGGTGACTAAAATTTATCTTCATCGTTGTTAGTTATTACTAGACAAATCCAACATTTTAAAAATATTCGGGTCAGCGGGTTATTCTAACGGACCAGTCCCATTAGCATTGGACTCTTCTCATTGTTAAAGTTTGAAGAGCAACGCGGGAAGCTCATTAACTGTGACAATGGAGTCACCTAGGCACACGTGCGTGAAACTGAAAATATCAGAGCCTGACAACGAATCCGAATCCGAACCCATATTCGTTAAAGGCACGTGGTATTCGACTCGTTTCGACCTCTCCGTCACTAACGGTCTGCATGCTTGGACTTGCCAGGGTACTGAATTCCTTCAATTTTCGACAATTTCAATTTTTTTGTTTTGTTTTGTTTTTGTTTGTAATTGCTAGTTTTCTTTATAGCGACGGAGGAGGAGGTCAAGGAGAGAGCTACACAATGGGACCAACCGGTGAGTGAATACATTCACTTAGCTGAGAAATACCTCGGGTTTGAACAGCCGGGTTCGGTTTACGGGTTCTCGGATGCTGGAAACGGGTTCAAAAGGGTCAGTGCAACTGGAATTTAATTTTGGAAGTTGAAATTGTTTAAACTACGAGTTGAAATGCTTTCGATAGTATTTTGAAATTTATTTTCATTTTGATTATCTAAAAACTGAATCTACGTTAATATATATTCTTGGGTTTCAGGGTTTGGATGTTGGAAAATGGTACAAAAAAATCGCAAACTTGTCAATGGTAATAATTTATAATAGCTTTTTTCTTTTTGCATTATCTCTTGACTTTTTACTATTAGCTTACGGCATCTTGCCTCATTATTTTTATTGAAATGATGATATTTACAGAAGGAGAACGCTATTTTTTCACCTTGTTTATTGATCAATTATTGATTCTTTGTTTTCGTTTTTTCTGATTTTGGGGTTTGCTAGTATAATAGCATTGTTGTCTGAATTAAATGAAGTCTTTCTGCTATAATTTGTCACCTTGGTCTGCTGAAGTTGCAAGTGAGAAATTAATGTTATTTTCTTAAAATTCAGAAAAACTTGATGGATGTATTACTTGTATGATGAAGTAATGTCACTTTCGTTATTTTGTTTGTTTAGTAGTACGAGGAGTTTATTCTCTTAGAAATTTCTTAACATTGAGCGAGGTGCAATTTCACACAGTATATAAGCGGATGTGTGTATATTTGTTGCGGGTCATAAAAGAGTATATGGGACTTTTCTGGTAGTGACTTCGACAAACCTGGACTGTGGATAACGACTTGTGGCATTATCATTTGGGAGAACCGACTCAACCAAACTTTCGATGTATTGTGATGAAATTCTACTCTGCATGCTTGTAATTGCTTGAGTATTCATGGTTGTCAGATTTATGACGCTTATTTCCTGAAGTATAAATGACTTTTTACTATGAGGAAGGCTTCAATTTTTCCTCATTACTAGTTCCTATGGGTGTAATGTTTTGCAGTTAACATGGACCTTTGAGAAGGAAGGCACAAAATTGGAATGGCGATGGAAATGTCAACCTTCACCAGATAGCAAGATAACTACAGCAGATGTATTGGACTTTCTCATGGATGCTAACACAAGATTAAGTGTAAGATAATGCATGATAACCAAAAAAAAAAACTATACAGGTTACCTAGTCAACTATTACATCTACTTGCTGATGCAACCATGACTATTTGATAATCTGTGATAACATATATTCTTTTGATCAGGAATGATCTAATGAGCATGCTCGTTAGATCATTCCTGTTCTTTTGAATTCATTTTGCTACCCAAGTAAATGGTAGATTGTATATTGTAATCCTAATATTCCATGTTTCTTGGGAAACATGAAATCTGTTTAATGAGTATATTTGATGTTCCTTGCTGTTTAATAAGATTAATGTTGAGATCTCCAGCCAGCTGAGGTTTTTCATGCAAATATTGGCTCCTCCGTTTAACCATATTTAAAAGGCATTTCATGAGTTCCTTGTTTGTATAAATAGGAGGAAGTTGTCCGGCAAACCCAGTCAACTAACAGGCTCAAAGTAGAGGCAGAAAAATGTTTGTCTCAAAGTGAGAAACCCAGCAATGAGAAGACACGGTTTGAAAAGAAAATCTATGGGAAGGTTTGTTTTCTATCCCAAGTACCTCTTGCTCTCACTCATTTTTCGTTCTGAAGTCTTTTTAGACATATAAACCCTTATCAGTAACTGCATATTATATAAGCACGTTTGAAGATCAATTAACCAAAGATGAATTCTTCATTTAAATTTTTGAAGTTCTTGGATACTTTCCTCTACAATAGGAATGACTATTCTATGTTAATGCTTCTAGTTTGCTGGGGTCTTGAGTTCAAAGAAAGCAAAACTCAGACAGCTTCGTGATCGGCTTTCCAAACAAGTAAATGCAAAACAATTGCACGAAGAAGATGAAGTGTCCAAAGAGAGGACTGAGAGTTTTGATGAAGAAACTGATGAAGGCGATAGTGATGAAGAGCGCAGGAAGAAGGATACGGGTTACACTAAGGATGTCCCTGCTCGTAGGCCTCATGGTAGAAAGAGGAAGTGACCTCCTAAATGTTCACCATAATAGCATGTGTAGTTCAATCCTGTCTGCACCTCCATCTCAGGCTTGGTTGTCTAATTCTTATGGAAAACTTGTCATAGAAACCAGCAACGTTATATCTGGATTCTGGGCAAGGAAACCAGGCGGTGGGCAGGTTTTATATACACTTAGTCAGATACTTGGTTATCATTTTGATTGGAATTAGTATATAATTATGAGTAACAGAAATGCTACTGGTTTTTGATCAATGTAAAAATGTATTGCTTATTTGGAAATCTAGTTACAGGTTTTGAGTAGAGTCAAGGTACACGACATGCAATGCCACTTTATTAAAATAGGAACATTGGATGGTTGTTTTAGATATCCAATTTCGATTATTGACGTGGACACTTCTAGAATATTCAATGATTATAATTAAAGTTGGATGATGTAGAAAAATGTTACAAGAATCGTGTAACAAATGATCACTATGAAGTTATATCGTCAGTTTTACATGACACTACTTTAATCGACTTTTTTGTTTTTATAGATAAAAATTAAGGATCAATAACATCAAAATATTGTTAGTTCTACCTGACACTACTATTAGAAATTGTATGTAAACGCACTGTGCATAGTTAGCTCATTTTCATTTCGATTAGCTAGTTGGCCAGCTGGCACTCATGTAGTTAATTAGTTGTCCAGCTGGTAATAATTTTGACGCCAATTCTTGCGGCTATTTATAGAGCTTTGTACATTCATTTTCTTTAGATTTGATATTCAATAAACTTTGATTCATTATGGATCTTTGAATCTAATATGTATCAGGCCAAATTCCGCACCGTATTCTTCTTCTTCTTCATCTGTGCAATTGATCTAACAAGTGAAGTCTACCTCAATGGAATCTGAGAGTAACTCAACTGCACAATCGACAATGAGTAGATCTGTAGTTGATGAACCTTCAAGTCCTTACTTTCTTCATCATTCCTACAATCCAGGGTTGATGCTTGCGTCACAATAGCTCACGGGAGAAAACTATGCCTTTTAGAGCCGTGTAATGGTGATTGCATTACCAGTGAAAAATGAACTTGGTTTTATTAATGGAACAATTACTAAACCAGAAGGTACGAGCTCTGAGTTGATCAATTCCTAGATTTGAGATAATAATATGGTCATCTCTTGGATCTTCAATTCTGTTTCAAAGGAGATCTCAGGTAGTATAATATATGCTACTTCTGCATATGAGATCTGGAGTAATCTCAAAGATAGGTTTCAGCCAGAATAATGGTCCAAGAATTTTTCAATTGAAGCGAGATCTCATGAACTTGACTCAAGGTCAAAGTATTGTTAGTATATATTTCACTAAACCCAAAACTATTTGGGTGGAATTGAGCAACGATTGTCCTACATGTACATGTGGGAAATGTACACGTGGAGGAGTGAAAGAACTAAACAAACACTATCAGATGGAGTATATAATGTCCTTCCTCATGGGACTTCATGATTCATTTTCTCATAGAAAGGACATTTATTGCTAATGGATCCTCTACTTCCAATAAATAAAGTATTTGCTTTGATCTCTTAAGAAGAAAATCAGAGAAGGATCCGTACGCAAATGGCCAATGAAAATGATCTAACTGGAGACCTACATTCGCCTTTAAAGCAGAATCTCTGAAAGCATCTATGGGTTAGGATCCCACAACAATAGTTCCAAACTTGGAAACGTCAAGAAGAAAGAAAGGCCTTATTACACACATTGCAACATCCATGGACATTCAATTGATAGATGCTACGAAACATTGGAATTGGTTCAAAAATTAACCGAAAATTGGTTAAAAATAAAACTGGGAAAATGAAAAGGTGTGACTTCGTATCAACTTCGGTCGAATGTTTGGACTTGATCCGATAGTCAAATTACAAAAAAAATAGATCAACTTATTCTACTTGTCGAGTAGATTGTCGTGGTATATTTGAAATCTCGAAACCAATTCCGTATGAATGAGAAATTGCGGTCCAAAATTGGAAGAATGAAGCGTTGCAACTTTTCGAAAGGATGCAGGTTTGAAATGAAGTGTTGCAACTTTTCATGAAAAATGCTGGATTTGGGGTGTCTCTCTTCACCTACAACCCTTCATTTTCCATATATAGGACCCCTTTGATGTGTTTTTGTCATTCCAATTCATTCCATAATTTCATATTATTCATTTCATGTTAAGTTACATAAAACACTTTGTAGAAGTGATTATCTTTTGCATCAAAATCATTGTTATGGTAGAGAGGGAATTCCGTTCAAGTTCGTTGGTCGAAGCCATTTGGAGTGCTCCTATGGCTTGACGTGGTTGTTGTATCTTGAGAGATGATTGTCGAAAAATCGTTAGCACCGATACAGGACAAATTCATCTTAAGGAAAGAGTTATATTCGCCTCTGTCAATCGCATCACTTGCATCTAATTTTTTCTTATTTCTGATTTCATTTCTTCATACTTGATCTCCAAAAATGATTAATTTTATTTATATGGTTTATGCAAGGTTCGATATCAAGAATAACATGTTTTAATTCAAGAATGCAAATGGTCAGATTCGATAATCATTGATTAGTTTTTCAAACTCCATTTCGGTAAGTCGAAACATTGTTTCGATTTCGTGAACGTGTAAATTACGTTTTATGAATATAATATGTACATTTAAATCGGTGTATTTCCCAACACGAAATTCATGGATATTTATCTGGTTACAAACCAAAATCAGGATCTTACAGCAATAACTCTTCCAGCTCTAATCCCGTCAATCAGATTTGTACTTCATTTCATGCATAGGATGAAGATAGGTTGAGTAATCCACAACAATTTGGTATTGGAAGTTTTGTTTAGAACTTAAGTTCTTATCAATATCAATAATTGATGTCGGTATTGTCTACTCACTTGGCATTAAGTTCAAACACAGCAACTTCTAATCATCAGGATAACAACATTGCATCATATAATGCAGGTATATGCTACTCCAAATTTGTTAATCCTATTTTTTTTCCAAGAAAATCTGGATAATAGACCCACGGGTTACTAAACATGTATGCTCCATATTGCTGCTGCGTTTATGAATATAAGGCTCATGAGGGTTCAAATGTGACTTTACCCAATTATGCACAGATTTCAGTTAAATTTTGAGGAGATATCAGATTGAGTCCAAAACTTGTGCTGTGTGATGTGTTATTTATGCCACAGCTAGTGCATTGAGCACTGATTCACAATTCTCATAATTGCTTCATCATTTAGGATGCTAAAACTAAGAGGATGATTGGCAGGGGTGATTGAATGTAGGATTTGTATGTTCTGGATACCAGGATTCTGAATTCCACTACTAACACATTTGTTAATAATGTGACTGTCCATATATGGGATAACAGACTAGGTCATCTTTCCTTTAAAAGATTAGAATGCTTGGAGGAACAATTGTTGTATGATGTCACAAACTTTAACAAACACATGCTTTGCTTTGTTTGTCCTCTTGCTAAACAGAGGAGATTGTCTTTTTAAGTCGAATAATAGGTTGTCAAACAAACCCTTTGATCTTGTACAATATGATGTATGGGATTCTTACCATGTTACTTCACAATTTGTTCAATGGTCACAGATCAAAAAGTAATCCGTCACAATTTTATGTATAGGTCACAAATTAATATATTTTTAGGCCACATTAGTCACGATTAATCTTATTCGTGGTCACATATTGTTTATTGGTCATAAATTAATCAATTTAATAGTCACAATCAATCAAAAAATCAGTGACCGCCACCATAGCAAACACAACACCACCGGCCACCCCTCATCATTGCACCACAAACCACCACCACATTAACAGAGACCAATCACAAAATAGTAAAAAAACAAACCACTTTCTCCTCTTCATGCAACATGACCTTCCAGCCTATACTTGCCTCTCCAACAACTTGCACATCAAACACTCTAGGATATGTACCTTCTTTGGCTGAATTTGTTCGTCTGTCCAAATCACCAGAATCATTTATTATCTCACTACCCTTCCTGAGTTTTTGCAAACGATTCTGAGAAGTAAAATCATTATCTATCACGAGAACAGAAGGCTCATTCCCATCGTTGTTTCCAGTATCTCCAATTTCCTTCCCAACAACAATTTATGTCTGGCCATCAGTGTCAATAGATGGGTCCTCAGAAACTGCTGGACTTCCTCCATTTGATTCCTCATCCAATTCTGCATCACTATACTACTCAAGAAACCTAGCATGATTTTCAGAATCACCACTCTCCAACTTTATACTGGACATTGGAGCCAGAATTGTTTTCTTACGTTGCCGGGGGGAGAGAGAGGGCGGGTGGAGAGACAAGACACGTGAGAGAAGAAAGGAGAAAATGAAGAGAAAATATAATCAATTGGAGAGGATAGGTGGAGAGAGAGAAACGGGTGAGAGAATAAATTGGAGAAAGAAATTGATTAGACTAAGAAATTGGAGAGAGAAGATGGGTGAGAGAATGAAATTTATATAATTAGTATTTAATATTTAAATATAAAAAATTTGATTTTTGAAGTGTTAAGGCCGTGGTTGGTTTTCCGTTTTCGGACCATTTTCCGTTTTCCATTTTCCAAAACGGGGAAAATGCGTTTAGTTCGTCATTTTCAAAAACACATTTTGGAAAACGAGTTAAAATTTATAACTGAAAATGTAAAACAATTTTTTATCGTTTTCAGCGTTTTCAATTATAAATGTCGAAAACGCTCAAAATCCGAAATACTGGCCATTTTCGGGGAAAACTAAAAATCGTTTTGAAAATGAAAATGCAAACCAACAACTACCTAAGGCTATGGTTGGTTTAGCGTTTTCGGGCCTTTTTCATTTTCGAAAATGCAGAAAACGCGTTTGGTTCATCATTTTCAAAAAACGAGGTAAAATTTATAATTGAAAACGCAAAACGATTTTGTATCATTTTGAGCGTTTTCAGTTATAAATGCTCAAAACGCGAAAATGCTGAAAGCGCGGCGTTTTCGAAGAAAAGTAAAAATCGTTTTGAAATCAAAAATGAAAAAAAGAAAACTAAACCAATCGTAGCCTAATATTTTTGCAAAATTTATAGTCGAACAATTAAAGAAAAAAAGTAATAGTAATTAAAAAGAAAATAAAGGAGCAATTACAATAGAAGATAAAGGTTGGGGCAATTCTTCTAAATAATAAAAGGCCGGCAAGTTGGTATCTTGGAAAGGTTCTAGCACGCCATCTACGCTTCATTATGTACCAATAGATTAATTCATTTTGGAATGCACACTTTTTAAAGATTATTATATTATTACCATGCAATCTCTTATCTACCAAAATTGACAATTTTCTCTATAATCGTCACCCCGCAGCCACCATGT